CTAGCTGCTCCCCTGGGGTCTCCCCCCACGCTCCCTGCAAGCCCTTCCGGTTCCTGGGTGGATGCAGCAGCCAGGCCCTGCCTGTCACCCCCCAAACGCTGTGGGGACCCCCTGACCCCAGCACCCGCAGGGCTGGCAGGTGGGGGGCAGCCCTGCAGACCCCCACCCTTCCCAGGAAGACGGGAGACAGGCTGTGCCCAGCACCCGCAGCAGCGGGGAGAGCCCCAGGCACCAGGCACAGACTGACCCGGTGCCCAGCAGGGCCGGAGCCAGAGCCGGAGCCGGACACACGTGCAAGAGCCCCAGGAACAGCCCCCAGACCCACCACGGAGGGGCATGGCCTGTGCTCCCACCCCCAGAGACAGCCCCCAGACGAGTCCGCCCGCAGGAGCCTCGCCAGCACCACGCTCCCCCCAGACTCCCCAGACAGCCCGGCCCCCCACCATGGGGAAGGCCCCCAACCCCGCCTGGCCCGGGCTGGCTGGAGCCCCGGGGGGGGATCCGCTCCAGCACCTGCAGCCGGGCAGGCATGGTGGGAACAGGGCGGCCCAGACGGATGCGGGGTCAGCGTCTCGGGGCAGCCGCGGGCTGCGGGGGGCCGCGGGTGGGGGGGGGGGGGGGCCTCCCCCCCCGCCACTGTGTGCACTCCTGGGGGGCAAGGGGAGCACGTGCCCCCCAGATTTGTGCGCAGGGTGGGGGTATGGAGACCCCCCCGGCCGCGTGGGGGGGCACGGCACTGTGGCCTCAGCTCCTGCACGGACCCTCCCTCCCCAGCCCGGGGGTCCCAGCGGGGGCCATGCACCAGCATGGGAGCCCAGGGGGCCAGTGTGTCCACCCCGCCCCTGCCACCATGGGGATGGGCCGTCTGCTTGCTGGGGGGCCACAGTGGGAGAACCGGGGGCCACACAGCGTGCAGCCCCAGGGGAGGGGGTGCTGGGCTGGGCTGCACTGGGTCCGGCCACGCGTCAGACCCTGGCTCGGGTCCCACGGGGCTGGGGCTCTTGCGCAGGGCGGGGCTGCAGGACCCTGGGTCCCTGCTACGCACACATGTGCACACCCATGCACATGCATGCACACGTGCGCACATCCAAGACATCCAGGGGGCCTGGTCCTGGAGACTGGGACCTCACAGCTGAGCCCAGCTCCTCTCACCCCAACCCCAGCCCCTGGCGCAGGGCAAGGCAGGAGCAGGCCCCCTCCCAGCCCAGGAGTTCGCCCTTCCTGCCCCCAGAGCTGTGACCAGGCCCCCAGCACAGCACGGCCCGGCGCTCCCCGAGCCCGGCTGGGCGACGCAGACCCCTGGGCTCCCCGCACTGGGGCGACAGGAACACCCGGTCCCCATGCTGGGCCCCACGCAGCCCCCAGCCCTGCCGCACTCAGGGAAGGAGCTAGGACAGGGCGCTCAGCGCAGACCCCAGCGCCCCAGGGGACGCTGAGACCACATCCTGCTCAGGGGTGCTGGGCTCCATCTCCCCCACCGGTTGCAGACCCCAGGGCTCACAGCGGCCAGCCGCAGCATCCCCCTGCCCCTCCCAGCACCCCCCCAGGTGCACAGCATCCTCCTGCCCCGGTGCCCAGCCCTGTCCCCCCCTCCCGGTACAGCATCCTGCTCAGATCCTCTTGCCCCCAGACCCCCGCCGTGCACGGCTTCTTGGGTGCTGGGCTCCATCTCCCCCACCGGTTGCAGACCCCAGGGCTCACAGCGGCCAGCCGCAGCATCCCCCTGCCCCTCCCAGCACCCCCCCAGGTGCACAGCATCCTCCTGCCCCGGTGCCCAGCCCTGTCCCCCCCTCCCGGTACAGCATCCTGCTCAGATCCTCTTGCCCCCAGACCCCCGCCGTGCACGGCTTCTTCTTGCCCCGGTGCCCAGCATCCTCCTGCCCCAGACGCAGCTGCCCAGCCCAGCCGCATCCTCCCGGCCGGTGCGCCGCCCAGCCCCGG